AGTCCTCACTCCCTCCAAGGGAGGGGTGTGGGCTCGGCCCGAGCGAGCCGGTGCCCGCCGGCCATCGGGCAGGCGGCCTGTGGGCGGGGCCTGATCATCGATGGATTTGGATGGGGGATGGACTGCTGCTGTGGCACTAAGCACGATCTGAAGTACAAGATTTTTTACACAGCAGCTCATTATTTTTGGCCCTCCTAAGAGAGCGACCGAAGTCGTTTCGGAGGATCGATATTTGTTCACATACAGCTTTGTATGCAAGAAACTGGGCCTTAAAATTGGGCCACTTCGAGTACACCAAGTGAGCTCACATTAACTTGAAATATTTGATGAACATATTAGATGAGCTCTTAGGGAACCTACCTAGAAGTGGTGGTCGCCAAATCTTAGATAAGTATTATGTGCTGCTTCATAAACGGTGTATGATGTGACCAAATGGTGCAATGGATAGGCATCGGCCCTAGGCCTGCAGGGTCGGTAGATCGGATACTTGGGAGGTTGGTTCGATTAAAAGAGCTCCAAGGGATGTTTTGCAACTTTGAAATAGGCTAGGACAAGACGTTCGAAAAAACGTTTTGTACTTATATCCACCTTGATCGTCTATCCTTGCGTTTATAGTTAGTCGCCTTAGCCATACATCGGCTTCCACCGAACCAAAATTGATCCTGTGGCCTCACTGGCTTACCAGGAAAAATGCCACCACCGAACCCAACCTCATCCGGTGCCACAGTGGCTTCACTGAGCACCATCTTCATGTGCCCCGCTTCACCACCAACGTCGCTAAGCGCCCGCCGTGCGGCTACAAGCATGATGCAGTGCCAGTACTCATTGGCTATCGAGCTGTCCACCAGTCCACGGAGGCACATGGACACAGCCCCAGCTTTCCAGAGCGGCGATCCTACCTCCGAACTTTACTACACCATGTGCCGTATTTTGCACAGTCCTTTTTGTAAAAAATCTCTCATTGGGAGAGTGCAGAGAATGCACATCATGGGAGAACTGGGTTACCGTTCCGATCGATGCTATAACAGCACATCAGCAGGAATCGACACTGTTCTACATTTCCATCATTTTTGAAACAACCATTTTCTGTTTTTTTCAGCTTCCACTGAACCAGCTTTACCGATTTTCCAAACCCCCTCGAACTTTGGGACACCCCGCCCCCGTTTGTGCTACCATCTCAGGCCCCACGGTTACTGTTTGGATGCTGCACCCACATGGTGCATAGGACCCTCACCAGTACGGCTGTCTTACCTTTCCTCAATATTCTATCACCATGTGCATCGTATTGTGTACTGCCCCAGTGGCGAAGATCTCTCGGTAGTAGAGCACAGAGAAAATAGCAACTTGGGTGGTAGGGGTAGTCGATCCTTGCAGCAGTGAACAGCGGTCGGCTACTTTATTGATCGAATGGCTGAATGATCGATTCGATCGATCTTTGCAGTAACATCCGGCCCATCTCAGCAGACCTAGTTTTTTTCACCAACTTTCAAGTTTTTACTCAGCTTTCCCTTTTCAGACCATGTCCTTAGACCGCTAGCTTGGCCGGAAATGCTCTAATGCTCTATCTAGACCTCTAAAGAATTCCAGCATAGTGTTCAGATGCCGTTTGCTATGACGTAGCTTAAACGATCTAAAGTTTATCCATCGGGGTCACTCACTGGTCAACCTACCTCCAAGGAAACATTCCAGTACGGTCTGCTGATGCCTGAATGCCATCAAATAAGTCCCTATATATCGTACTGTTTTGTGTTTTCTGTGAAAATCCCTGGATAGCGTCTCGTTTTCAGATTTAGTGAACAGTACAATACAGAGTTGAAACGATTTATTAAATGTAGCGCCTCTAGCTGTCATTCTGTTTGGATTTTAACTTTAGGGTTAATGTTTTCGAACGGTCTCGTTTAGATTCCTTCACATCACTATGCTGTAGTAACCACTGCCTTCCTGTTCGACTGTGTTGTTGATTTGGAGCTTCTGTAAATAAAAAAGTAAATAATGAAGATACACGAACAAGGTGATATTCAGGTTTAACAAGTGTTTGAAGTAGTAGTGAAGTTTGCAGACGAGTTCCAGCGAAGCATCGTTCCTACACTGGAGTAACCATCTTCGAAATGGCCATACTTGCCTCGAACCTCTTCCGAGCAACAAAATTTAGAAGTACACGTCAGTACAACTAGCACTACTACTACATATTTGTTGTTTAGATTCTGCGGTGGAGAACCTTTCCGAAGAAGCAATTTGCTTATGTGAGCACTTAATTTATGTAGCCAGAGTATCCCATCAGCTCATTTTCAAAGTAATGAAAGTTGTGAAATTACGTACTTTGAGCGATTATCGTATGCTTAGTCAAAATTGCATAATTGATCATCAAGAAAGTTAGCCGCTTCAATTCGCTCCCGCAATTGTTTGTTACTACAGTACTTCTGCATTAAACTTCTTGTTCACTTGTAGTCTTTATCACTATCAACCAGCAACCCTATATCTCCGGAATAACCACAGAAGTAGGTGGAAAAAACCTCCCAGACAATCTAATCACGTTCACTCCGCAGCAATGTGCTTCAATGTCACCTCCCCTGGAAATGCCTGAAAAGAGTGGATAGTCGTTCAGTAAGGTTTTACCTAACCCCATATTATTAAATTGCGAGCAAGTCACTTATACATGAAAATAAATTGATGAGACTTCCTAGATTGAGAAGCACTTTTGCACGGACATCTATAATAGCGCGTGTGGAGGTACTTTTACAGAACTTGCACCCTGTATAAATACCTCTAGCAGCGCGTGTGAAGGCACCTTACGAAGAGCTAGGTTCAGCGTCAGAACCTTCTTTTTTGTTAGTAATCATGTCTGTATTTCTAAACTTGTTTTCCTAACTCTACAAAAGCTCACCTTAAGGGCAGTAATAACCGTGAGAACAGGAGAATAATAAATCGAACGAATAAATTACCCAGGTACTTTGCTGTATAATACTCGTAGGACCTTCAGTACCACAACACCATCAATAAGAAGTTGTTTAAATCCGACAAAAACCAATTAGAAATTGCAATGTTCATACTCATAAACATCACAGAACAACACAAATCAAAAAAACAAAATCAATCCAAGCGAAAATAGAATTGAAATGGTCATAAAAGAGAAGAAAACGATAAAGGAAGTCTTATGTACACCCAATGAAACCCTATAGACGATTGTGATAAACAAAAACACATTAAAAGGCGCAATGAGTTCTGGATTGGAAAAATTCATCAATGATAAAGGGAAGGAGAAGTGTCTNTCAATAAGAAGTTGTTTAAATCCGACAAAAACCAATTAGAAATTGCAATGTTCATACTCATAAACATCACAGAACAACACAAATCAAAAAAAACAAAATCAATCCAAGCGAAAATAGAATTGAAATGGTCATAAAAGAGAAGAAAACGATAAAGGAAGTCTTATGTACACCCAATGAAACCCTATAGACGGTGGTGATAAACAAAAAAACACATTAAAAGGCGCAATGAGTTCTGGATTGGAAAAATTCATCAATGATAAAGGGAAGGAGAAGTGTCTGTCTGTATAGGAAAGATGCATTAACAGCCAGCGCATACACATGTACACACGCACGCAACCGTACGCGGCGCGGTGGGCGACTTTGGCAAAACAGAATTATTCCATATCAATCAATAAATGGTCATTCTCTATATCTCTTTGTGATTAAAGTGGACGTTTGTACAATGAAACACTATTCACTCCGAGACAGGCTGTTACATAGGCTACACGTGGGCGAATTTGTGTCATCCATATCTGGCTGGCAACAATTTTGGCCAAATAGTTCCCTCAATTTCACACATATTGAACGATATGATGTAAAGTAATAACAATAAAATAGGCGTTAACTTAAAATTAGATCGAATTTTGCTGTTTTTTGATGATACATCGGTATAGAATGACTATGCCACTATAAAAGGACAACTACGTATTGGTTATGCTACACATAAGAGACGTCTTGTTCGGTCCCGGGAAACAAATCGCCGACGTTGTGTAGACTGATGATGTGCGCCGAATCTTTAGCGCATTCTTTATCGTAGTTTGACGGTGAGTCAAGGTCCTGAGACGTATACTCTGAAAAAGGTTACGGTAGCACTGTGCAGCCAGATACCCAAAAGATCAGCTAGAATATAAAAAAAAANAAAAAAAAACACAGGATGCATGTCGAACAGATGAACTAATGATCCCTACGATTGTTTCCCAAAAGAAATCACAGCTTAAAGAAATCAGATCTATTTTCTGCTTGTTTCATTATCTACAGCCTGGAACGGCATAAAAGAGATGAAGCGATTTTTAGACATAACCTCACAAAATGGCGAATTCAGTAATGATCTAATATTATAGATTCAATCTCAAATAGAAAGAAAACGAGTTTTTTAAAGACGAAGTAAAGCTCAACTAGTTAAAAAAAAACTTCTCAGCATTAAAGCAAGCAGATCCAAAAAGAAACGAAGAAGAAACAGTACGAAGTTACGGTCTGGTAAAAATCAGGGAGTATAAGAGAGTGCAAAAAGCTAACACCAGTTTCAATATGTAAGATGAAAAGTCCCTCGAAAAACTTAAAAGATGTGAAACTGTTAAAAGCTCACCTTTATGTGATTGACGTCGCTGAATTAATTTGCCATCTCTGTTCCTATCCACAAAAATTTGACCCTAAAAATAGCAAAGTTGTATCCATAACTATAGTAGCCCATCAAGCATGTCGTATATCAAATATATTAACCGAAGCATAGAGCAAAAAGTAAACAAACAATGATAATAAATAAATATCGAGTAAATTAACCTTAGATACATCGACGGTAACGTCAGCGGCACAACGACTCAAGGCAGTTTTTTCACCGAGGGATCTGCAAAACAAAGATCCATTCAGGGCCGCGAATTACAAAAAGCTGCTATGCAACTTCTACAGTACTCCTATTCATTCTGCTACAGGACCCACTTACTTTTGCCTCGTAACAGTTGTTTGTCGTTCAGCGTTCGGTGATATCAATATGCTCGTCGTGTAACTGCGACGTTTTTCTCGTCGATCTCCCTTCTCAAATCGTCGTTTGTGATCCTCCGGAGAACCATGACAGCTCAGTGCACGTTCATCTGCTAAAAGGAACGTATAACATCCGAAATGATCGAAAAAAAGCAGAGCATGAAAAGTCTTCTTCACAAGAAAACTCCGTGGAAACCCAAGGAAACCGTAAGAATTGAGCAATATTCCAAATATTTGCAAATCGAAAACGATAAACATGATATCAAAAATTCCAGCGTTGAATATATGACAATGCGGTAAAGGAGAAAAGAATTGTAGAAATTGTTTATTAGCATGGAACCATGAATTTTCACTCCCCTGTCTGCACCCTCTCAACGAGACTTTATCCTACTCGTCAATTCGACTCTCATTGCAACTTTCTGTCCGACGTCAACACCCCCATCCACCTCTGTGTCCCTCCTTTCCTTATCTTAAGGTTGAAAATTCCATCCTCCTGTGCCAGAATTGATTCTCACCACTAAAAAAGGCCCTCAAAGACGATGTCTCATCGTCGCTGCCCACTAGCCCTTACCGGTAAAGACGCAGAGCGCAATAAAATGGTCTCTTAAACCTACACTTTCACCTAACCTGTAAGTATATATTATCTCCTCTCATGAAAACAAGCTCATTCAACTATTTCTTACCTCGTTCTCGCCTCGTGCTCTTCAAGAGGTCAGGTGTAGGTGGTTGTGGAACAAATAATTGTTCATCGTCTTCTAGATCGATCACATCATCGTCGACAATATCCTCGTCGTCCGAGACATTACCGGCGTCTTCCTCCTAAATCGAATATTACTATAAATGTTTAGGAAGATTCTTACAAACTTTCAATGTTTTTTTCGAAGGTATGCGTAAATTTTTTTTAAAGTATGGAGATTTTACAGCTCTCTACAGATCAAAACTTTTCTTTTTGTTGCGTAGTTTTAACTGACCTTTGGCGGCTCTTCTAAGGCGTACTTTGAGAAGAACTCTTCCCAGTCCTTTGTCCGGTCTACGCCAAAGACTGTCTGTAAAAAAATAAAATAAAATTTTTATTGGTATTAGTATTGATTTTTTAAATATTTATCAATATTGATTTCTATTAGTAGTAAGTCAAACTTACGAAAGCATGCGTGATCAAACATTGGACTGTTCGATTTGCATGTTGAGCGTCAATAATAGCGGAAGTATGATCGGCTGACGTAGATGGTTGCCAGACTAGTGATGGTGCCACAACTGTTGACAGATTTGATGGGCCCATTAAATTCGATTCTTGGAACCTGGAATTACGACATCAGAAAACTGGCTTAATAGAAGTATTAGGTTGTCGGAAAAGTATTTGCGCATTTTGGTTTCCATGTTGTGAAATCTTTGGGGATTGCTCTAGAACCTCCACTGCGGAACATGTGTAAGTGCAGGTCAATGCGCTTTCCACACCATATCTGGCGTAGCATTTTGCAACGGTTATGGCTGCAAGAATCGCTCTCGACCCAAATCGAGTCAAACTGCCTTTGCTTTACAAGTTTAGAAAAACACGTTAATCCAATTNGATTCAATGAACTTTATTAAACTGTATTGACCGTCTTTAAAACTTCGACGAAGTGTTTATTTCACGATACTGGCATGGTATTCATAAGCAAATACTCGTGGGAACCAACAAAAAATCAGATCGAAGTTCGAAAATCATCTTCATTTGGGAAAACTCTCGAGTAGGAGTTTCTAGTACAAAGTTACAACCACATTTTCCCATCTTTTCATCAGTTCCCCTTGAATGCTAGAGATTTTCATGCCTGTAATCTCGAGACTCTCCAATATAGTCCTGAATTCGCGCAAACTCCTAAGCCCACGTCATCTTTCCGTGAAAAAATTGCCCTTCACTCGTGATTTATGAGGCAACTTCGGGCACAGATGAATCCCGTAGGGCTAATCGTTTCCGACGATGCAATCTACTTATATCTACGTCAAGAACCTCTCGACCTCTGATCTAATCATCGTCGAATCCACCCAGGAAGGAACATCAGAGAACAAACGGGAAATTGAAAGTAAAAGTTGAAAATTTAGTAAAGTTCACTTACCACGTGACACGATTCAGATGAAGCATCAGATGTTTCAACGTCTCATAATTACAAAGTGGTAACCGACGTGTAAGGCGTTTCAGTTCTTCCAAATGCTCGTCATCCGGCTCTTCGTTACATTTCTGTAAAAGTGGCTTAGTAAATAAAGGTTTTCAGAGAGTGTGTGGAACACCGTGGAAGGGCTCAAACAGGGAAATTATATTGAGAGAGAGAAAGAGAGAAGAAAGGGATGATCAGAAAAAGAAAGAAGCGGTATGGTTCTGGAGTAAGAGGTTATCCAAGAAAGCTTACAGCGAACCGGTACAAAACCGGTCTCCACGAGGTAGGAATATCTTTGGGAATGGGCCAATTTCGAGGAAGCTATCGACAACTAATGGATCTGAAGAGCAATAGGAAGGCAGTACTCACCACTCCGAAACGTATCCACTCGTTGTAGAGCTCATAGGTCATCAACGGTTCTGGAAGTTTCCTCAAGTAGAGCTTCACGACAGAGGCCAAATTCATGGGATGGACATGTTCAAGATCGACCGTAGAATCACCCGCACATCGTTCAAATGCTTCACAGATCTCTTCGATCTTCGATTTCACACCGCATGTTCGATAAATTCCCTGAAATGAATTCATTGTTAATTTGACTAAATTTCATATTTCACTTGAATCTTGTAACGGGAACGCCAAAAGAAACAATTCGAGAAATGTTTCTCTTTAAAAGTGAACTGAAGTGTAGAGAAAGCGTCAGCGCTGGATAGGGTTAGATCCTGAGCCTTAGCTCAATCGGAACCAAAC